CGAGCGGACACTTTAACCACTAGGCTACCCGACCGCCCCCTTCACTTTGTGAATCTTGTGGGGAGTTATATAAGCGATGATAAGCATCTCTCCACTTATCAAGAACAACATTGTTATCATAAAAAGCATTGTCGTTATCTGTACCCACTCAGCCATCGAGGCTTCTACAAAATGAAAGTCCGACAACTGGTAGTCTAGAACACGTACTTTGTGTACCCCTCTTACAAGTGTAGCTCGTGTGTTCATTGCCGTTATTATCTATAACTTCACAGGGAATTCTTTGCTTTCTGTCATTTGCCAGACCTAACTTGCCCATTACATATAATAAAATACTTAAAATACATAAGTTAGCCATTGTCTATCATGTCATCAATCTGTTCAAAGAAATTGTTCTTGATGCAATAAAGGATGTAGAATATTGCCAACTTGAATTTGTTGGTAGATAAATGCCCGTGAAGCAAGCCCCCACCTTCCCTTTCCTTGTATCCGTTCAGCTATCAAAGTATGTAGAAATGTTTGGAATGATAGTGTTATTGTTTGTTGTTTAAGGCCGCACTCGGCAATATTACAGCTATATGACGGCGGTCTGTAATTAATCGAGTCTGGACCAGACAATCCAGTGATTGACATAATGAGCCTCGATCCATGCAATTGGAATACGATGACATGCATTCAGCGAGCCTGACCACTCGATCCCATTAGTCGCCTCTTACAACAAGCATAGTCTCCTTTTATGGCAATATGGGTTGCTGAAAACCTTTTCTTACCCGGATCTTCACTGGCCCTGGGCGAAGGATATACAAACATGAATGTTTTGATATTGAATGTCAACGGTTGAAACAAGACAAAAGTAAAGCACTGAGAATTAGGATACTGGCTCTTTTGAGCGAGTGAGTAAGGGTTTACGCAGCTTTTAGCAATATTCCAGCAATATCACGGCAGTGGACACCTGGCATGGGCTTCTCACATTGTACCCATGTTAGTAGGGAATCGAACCGGGTCTTCGGCGTGACGAGCGTATTCTTTCAAGAATTATTCACATTAGCAATAAATATAATAAGACCTGCAGAAATTAATTCTGTGCATATGAGAGGAAATGTTTTGAGGAAAACATTAACAATTCAAAGGCTTTCTGGGATGTGATTAAAGTTTGACGGTCTGTACATTTCTCACAGGTGATACCATTCGTCAGCACTCGCATGTTTCCGTAACCTACAACAAGCATTCGTCACCTCTCGCCCCTTTCCGTAACCTGCAAGAAGACTCGTCCCCCTATCGATGAATGTTATGTGCAAAAATACGACAAACCAATCAGAATGCGCGTATGACTTCTAGTACTTCGGTCAAAGAATACCTCGGAAACTTTTTTTTATACTTTTTACAGATGTCTTGCATCTAAAAATATACCCAACATACAGTTAAATGTTTTCAGTTATGCTGTATAATACCGTAAGTCCCCATTTGTTTTAAATAGCATCTGGAATATATCATATATATATATATATATATATATATATATATATATATATATATATATATATATATACGAGTTTACAATTCTTCTTGCTATACCCGTTGCGCTTACACGGAACCGAGTCGCAAAAAAGGCCACGAGAGGGACACGTGTCCCATTCGGCTTGTCCCGGAATGGGATGAGTTGGTCACGAATGAGGTAATACGAGATCGAATACGAGATTCTCCGGCTATTCCCCATGATATACCAATGATGATTATACCAACACGATTACAGAAGATTATTCTCAATGTGCCCCCCACACAACACGGAATATTAAAAAGGATCCGTCATCTAAAATGCGACAAATTCCCTGGAATAGATTATACTTTCTGAATTCTTTGTACACTCGGCTGATATCCTTGTGCCTTATTTAGACTTGTTATGTTAGATGGTGTTTGACATGTTCTCTTCGTATTTCAATTCCTCTTCTGAAGAAAAGTGATTCACATGATATGATGAGTACACGGGATAACCCTTTTATCTTTAATAAAATGTTTACTTTTATTATTGACAAACGACTTGCATTTTGGGCCGATATTACGGATGAAATTTCTTAATCTCAAGCTGGTTTAAGGAAAGGGCATTCAACAATCGTGACATGTTTGCATTACAATCTGTAATACAGCGTTAAATAAACAGGAAATGGGGAATGTGTTATGCTACATTTGTCGAGTTTTCCATAGTGCTTGTTTCTGTACAACTTGGTAAAACATGGTCTTTAATCTACGTGGACTTCGTCGCAAAATGTTGAAACTGTTATGTAGTGTACAATGGAATGTTGAAACTGTTATGTAGTGTACAATAGAATGTTGAGAGTGTTATGAAGTGTACAATGGAATGTTGAGAGTGTTATGTAGTGTACAATGGAATGTTGAGAGTGTTATGTAGTGTACACTGGAATGTTGAGAGTGTTATGAAGTAAACAATGGAATGTTGAGAGTGTTATGTAGTGTACAATAGAATGTTGAGAGTGTTATGTAGTGTACAATGGAATGTTGAGAGTGTTATGTAGTGTACAATGGAATGTTGAGAATGTTATGTAGTGTACAATGGAATGTTGAGAGTGTTATGTAGTGTACAATGGAATGTTGAGAGTGTTATGTAGTGTACAATGGAATGTTGAGAGTGTTATGAAGTGAACAATGGAATGTTCAGAGTGTTATGTAGTGTACAATGGAATGTTGAGAATGTTATGTAGTGTACAGTGGAATGTTGAGAGTGTTATGTAGTGTACAATGGAATGTTGAAACTGTTATATAGTGTACAATGGAATGTTGAGATTGTTATGTAGTGTACAGTGGAATGTTGAAACTGTTATGTAGTGTACAATGGAATGTTGAGAATGTTATGTAGTGTACAGTGGAATGTTGAGAATGTTATGTAGTGTACAACGGAATGTTGAAACTGTTATGTAGTGTACAATGGAATGTTGAAACTGTTATGTACTGTACAATGGAATGTTGAGAATGTTATGTAGTATACAGTTGAATGTTGAAACTGTTATGTACTGTACAATGGAATGTTGAGAGTGTTATGTAGTGTACAATGGAATGTTGAAACTGTTATGTAGTGTACAGTGGAATGTTGAAACTGTTATGTAGTGTACAATGGAATGTTGAGAATGTTATGTAGTGTACAATGGAATGTTGAGAGTGTTATGTAGTGTACAGTGGAATGTTGAAACTGTTATGTAGTGTACAATGGAATGTTGAGAGTGTTATGTAGTGTACAATGGAATGTTGAGAGTGTTATGTAGTGTACAATGGAATGTTGAGAGTGTTATGTAGTGTACAATGGAATGTTGAGAATGTTATATAGTGTACAATGGAATGTTGAGATTGTTATGTAATGTACGATGGAATGTTGAAACTGTTATGAAGTGTACAATGGAATGTTGAGAGTGTTATGTAGTGTACAATGGAATGTTGAGAATGTTATATAGTGTACAATGGAATGTTGAGATTGTTATGTAGTGTACGATGGAATGTTGAAACTGTTATGTAGTGTACAATGGAATGTTGAGATTGTTATGTAGTGTACATTTTGCAGATGAGTGAGTGAGTGAGTGAGTTGGGTTTAACGCCGCTTTTAACAATATTCCAGTTACATCTCACTGTGTCATCTAAATGTGGAAAGAAAACCCGAATGATGCAGGTCTCAGACGTTTACCGCTTCGGTGAAACCCACGAACACGGGTATGATGCTGACAAACCTAACAACATAATCAGGGCGAACCGGGATTCGAACACATAATCATAAGTTTCTGGCGTGCTGAAGATGATATGTTTTCGAGCACAGTTGGGGATTTGCAAAACCTAGGGGAAGTATTAGAAAATTGTTCAACAAATGGAACCTCACTGTTATAAGGGTAAACGTGACATCGTGTTCAAAAAACAATTGTATATTGGCCAAAAAATGGGAAATGTAAAACTCAGGAAGTCCACACGTGCTGTAAATACTTGGATTGTATTTCATCGAACATCTCACATGATCTTTACCAACACCTAGTCCCAGCAATAAAGGTATCTATTTAAAAATATATATCTACAAAATACAAAATAAAGTTGGGTTTAACGCCGCTGTTAACAGTATTCCAGTTATATCACGGCATTCAGCTTAATGTGGGAGGAAAGCCCGAAGTGATGCAGGTCTCAGACGTTTACCACTTCGGTGAAACCCACGAGCATGGGAATGGTGCTGACAAACCTAGAAACATAATCGGGGCGAACCGGGATTCGAACCCACAATCATAGGTTTCTGGCGTGCCCAAGGGACGCAACTCTGCACAGCGAATCGTGGCGCCTTAGACGACTGGGCCACCCGTTCCCCCTGATGAGAAATGAAGTAGAATACCTCTACTTATATATTCACTCCTTTAAGTAATTAAATACTGGTTGAAACTCCTTAAAATGTCTTCATCGATACAAGACAATACTGGTATATATTAGGGTGGCTTGAAGATTGCTGGAATATTGCTGAAAGCGATGTAAACCCTTACTCACTCACTCACTCATTCGAAAGAGCCAGTAGCGTTATTCTTTCTGAATCTACCCAGTGCGATTCATCAAACCAAAATTATTTATGTGTGTATTTCCTTCTCCAAGGGGTAGAATAGGTCTTCAGCAACCCATGCATGCTGTAACAGGTTACTAAGCTTGTCGTAAGAGGTGACTAATGGGATCAGGGGGTCAGGCTCTTGACTTCTTGATTGATGCATGTCATCGTATCCCAATTGCGTAGATCGATGCTCATGATGCCAATCACTGGATTGTCTGGTCCAGATTCAATTGTTTTACAGGCTGCCGTCATATAGCTGGGATATTGTGGAGTGCAGTGTTTAACAACAATCAAACAAACAAATCCTATTGCTATCAGTCATTACATCAGCGTGTGTGAGGTGGCCCCGTGGACAGTGGTCATGTGTAGCAGGAGGCAGCATCTGGGTTTAATTCCCAAATTCTCATAAAAATCTCTGAGGAAAATCATCGAATAAATATTTTATTGAAAAAGCAGGCGATATGGTGATTACAATGGTGAAAATCACTGGAAACAAAAACAATGCAAAACAAACGAAATTAAATAAATGTGTGTCAGATATTACACCTACATGCACGTGGTTGACCACTACGGCTGCACCACCTGAGTGGGCAGGGCACCACGGACCTCGTGTGGACTGTCAGGGAGCTGGGGAGTCATGGCAGGGAAGGACCGACCAACTGGACAGGGTAGGACGATCAAACAGGACCCCCACATGCATCACATGCATTGTATTCTGGGCTTTCCGCTGCTTGGTTTCAAAATGTTAGACAAAGGCAACACTTTATGTTTTTCGGATTTATTTTTGCTTTTTAAAAAAAATAGCCATGTCAACCATTTATTTATTTATATGAAAGTCATTCTACCGTGGAGTGAGTGAGTGAGATTGGTTTTACGCCGATTTTAGCAATATTCCAGCAATATCACGGCGGGGGACACCAGAAATGGGCTTCACGCATTGTACACATGTCGGGATTCGAACCCGGGTCTTCGGCGTGACGAGCGAACGCCTTAACCACTGGGCTACCCGACCGCCCCTATTCTACCGTGGAATTAAATTTGCAGCTGGCTTCTTGAATCACTGACAGTAATGTAGACATGGTACTTATATATAATGTGTTATACTGTATAAGAGGGTCCAAATAACAAGCAGGCGACATAATAAAAAATTATATTTTTATGTTTAATTTATTTCTTTTCCAGCTGCTTTTTAGTAGGTGCAGCGGCCGTGAAACGAAACATAAAAAAGGTATGGCCTGATGGGACTAAGTAGGGCTCCCTTTCCAATCTTTAAAAGGGGAAGTGAATGGCAGCGTCTCGCATCACCGAACAGTCTTTCAGTACATTGAAACCCGCAGTGATGCAGGTCGTATACATTTACCACTTCGGTAAAATCACAAGCACATCGGGGGGCAGATCAAGATTCATAATCAGGGGGAAATACAGGATGGAAACCAACTAAGGGAGACAACTCTGCAACTAAATGTGGGGGACATATGCCATCCTTATGAAGAAACTTAATTGTATGGATGGAATGTGAAACAGAATTCATACTGACCTGTACAACGTCCCAACACTGCTGACATCGTAGCCTGGTGTTATGGGCAGACAACTCTTGGTGGGTTCATGGACACCAATGGACACACTACTACTATGTCTTAAAACAATTTTATGAATTGCAGCGTTCGAAGTTAAGGGGGCCTAGAATGCTTGGGGGAATTTGAATCCAGTTTAATCTTAAAGTTTAACATCCGAGGGAGACAGGGAAACTAGACTTTCCTGTCTGACTTCGAACACTGAAATGGATCCTTCATCAATTAACGAACAGGTTCATTGGAACACAGATGCTTGATTCATTACGTCACAGAAACATCTGGGATTCCTATGAAGTGCATGGCTTGATCTAGACACAGTGGGAATTGTTGTTTTTTAATTCAAAAATGGGATACGGTATTTAATTGTTTTTAATTATCTAAAAGTGTTTATTTAAACATTGTATCTTAACACTGCATTCAGTGCAATAATGTTAAACCAAACATCAATGCTTCTTCCTGTTACTGTAAACCACGGTTATAACGAACACGCTTATAACGAACTGACGGAAACACAAGTCACCTCAACCAAGTCATCACATTAGTCATAACCATGTTAACAAGAATTCGGAATATTAACAGAAAATTTAAGAATGCAGCAAAAGGTAAAAACACAAAATTTAAATATAGATCAATTATTACTTATAATGTTGCATATGCAATATAAAAGGATGAATTAATATGCACATTTTGATGTTGCAATGTCTGCTCAGTATTTGTGACAAAGAAACACTGCTATTTGTAACACCTCAAAATAAATCTTAAACAAACTCATTATTACATTAATGAGCTATTAAAAAACATTATTAGGATTCACATGTTTCCCAAGTCTGTAAAAACTTGAAAAAGGCTAGTGTTCGTTAATCATAGTTCATTGTCCAAACCATTGTGTAGAATTGTCATGTAAATCCCTGAAAGTTTTATACAACAAATGTGTCAAACATCGGTAAGACAACACGTGTTCATGAGGCCGTTTCGTCTCACAATGGATAAAATCACAGGAAAGACACTGGGGTGAAACATCGGCCATGACCTAGTTCACTTTCTTCTGGGGCTGCTTGTTGAGAGTCTTGCGCAGACGCTCAATGTCGTTGATGATGTTGCGGTTGAGGATGGAGCCCGCACACAACATTCCCCCAAGGATGGCACTGACGAAGCCACACATGTGCACATCTTGGCCTGGACAACAAACAAATTTGTCAATATTACATTCAGTTGTTTATTTTATTTATTGTATATTATACTTATCCAATTTCACACAATGCATTTCTTCATTCTTTCAAACCCTATGTGGAAACATGCTTGAACAAAGTTTCAAGAATCTAAAAAAACATTTCGCCCGAACACATCCCAGCATCATAGGGCTGGGACGAGTCCAAATTTACTACCCTTGTGACATCTAGTCTACATCTACATGACCTTGAGTCTACGTGACCTTGAGTCTATTTGACATTGCATCTACATCTACATGACCTTGAGTCTATGTGACCTTGAGTCTATGTGACCTTGAGTCTATGTGACATCTAGTCTACATCTACATGACCTTGAGTCTATGTGACCTTGAGTCTATGTGACCTTGAGTCTACGTGACAGCTAGTCTACATCTACATGACCTTGAGTCTATGTGACCTTGAGTCTATGTGACCTTGAGTCTATGTGACATCTAGTCTACATCTACATGACCTTGAGTCTATGTGACCTTGAGTCTATGTGACCTTGAGTCTACGTGACAGCTAGTCTACATCTACATGACCTTGAGTCTATGTGACCTTGAGTCTATGTGACCTTGAGTCTACGTGACAGCTAGTCTACATCTACATGACCTTGAGTCTACGTGACAAGAGTGCAGTGTACCTGTCATGTAGAGCCCTGGTATTCCGGTCGCCGGCCGCATGTTGATGGAAGTCTCGGCAGAGAGTCGCTCCAGACCATGGTTCATGCCATACATCTCCCCCAGGGGCGCTCCCAGGTAGTGCTTGTTGGTCACGGGCGTGCCCACCTCCATGTACTCCAGCTGCACATGCACAGAGAGGCAGAAGTAGTGGAATATAACAAAACATCCAAGGTTTGGACATCACAGGTATTGCGAAAAACTATTTAAGAACCATCTTTTTAACAATGTTTCACATTATTATAGTTTGTTTGTTAAAGGGAGTAAAGTGAATGTTACCGTGATAAGCGCCTCGGGCACTCTCAAAATTAGTGTGTGAGTTTGGTTTAATGCCGCCTTTAACAGTATTCCAGTTATATCACGGCGTGTCAGCTTAATGTGGGAGGAAAGCCCGAAGTGATGCAGGTCTTAGACGTTTACCACTTCGGTGAAACCCATGAGCACGGGTATGGTGCTGACAAACCTAGAAACATAATTGGGGCAAGCCGGGATTCGAACCCACAATCATAGGTTTCTGGCGTGCCCAAGGGAGGCATTTTTGCACAGCGAATCGCGGCGCCTTAGACGACTGGGCCACCCGTACCCCCTCTCAAAATTAGAAAAGGGGGGCGCTTATTAGAATGCAATCTTGGTTAAAAAACAGAATTGAAAGATCATAAAAATTTGGAATTTTATTGACGCAGAAGAGGATCTGTATTGTATTTTACCCCTTAGAGATATATGTCTCTTACAAATAATACCATGTGCATGCTTAGCAAATACCGCCATGGGTGCATATTAGAGTGGGGCGGTAATTACGTCGAATACGGTAACCTTCTTACACCTCAATCGGCTTGGAATGTATACTCCCAAAGGAGGTAAGAATGAAAAGTCCAGTGCACCATTGACTGTGGTTTTATACTCCCTGTGAGCTGAGAACGAATAAAATCACAGGCACCCTGATCCACTGACTGTGGTTTTATACTCCACAGGGAGCTGAGAATGAAAAATCACAGGCACCCTGATCCACTGACTGTGGTTTTATACTCCACAGGGAGCTGAGAATGAAAATCACAGGCACCCTGATACACAGACTGTGGTTTTATACTCCCCGTGAGCTGAGAATGAATAAAATCACAGGCACCCAGATCCACTGACCAGGGTAATAATAAGGTGGCACTTTGAGCCTACATTGCATATGGAGTTATGAGCTTTGCAAGTGGACTATCATAGACCTTCTTACCTGTCCGTCCAGGTTAGGGAAGAGTGACACAGTTTGCTTCCACATCTGTCGGCCAATGGCCATCTTCAGCTCCTCGTAGCGCTCGCCACGGTGACGGTCACGCCCTTCCTTCCACTCCGAGAACCACTCCCACTTGGCGATAGTGATCAGCAGAACCACGCTCTTACCTGGACAAACATCATCACAAGATTCATTCCACAACAACAAAATGATGTATTCGAATCATCAGACAATTATCGATAAATTACAGCACATTCTGTACCTAGAAAATTGTTAACCTGGAATGTGAGAGGAGGGAGGGAGGGGGGGGGCTACTCACCTGGAAAGCGGGTATCCCAAGACGGGTCTTTAGCTGCAGGGAATGAGATGTAGATCAGGGGTACTTCGGAATTTGCAGCATCTTCGACGCTTTGATTCATGAAGTCTCCGACCGAGCCGTCAATGTCAGTGCTGTGAAACATGAATAAAGCTATGTTAGTATCTGCTGGGAGACAGGTCTATACATGAGTGAGTGAGTGAGTTGGGTTTAACGCCGCTTTTAACAGTATTCCAGTTCTATCACGGCGTGTCAGCGTAATGTGGGAGGAAAGCCCAAAGTGAAGCATGATGTTCTTCACTTTGGTGAAACCCACAAGGACTGAGTTCTCGGTTTCAATTTTAATTTAGCACAGTTATATCTACAGGTAACCCAGGTTTTATGAAATGCAGCCCCAGAATGGAAAGGAGAGTCACTTTCATGGAGGGGTTTCCAGCATAGCAAAGGGAGCTAACTCCTCAGAAATGTCAACACTATTTACACTTGATTAATTAATTTTTAAAACTTGCAGTGTTTGAATTTAAGGGGTCCTGTCTTAACTCTAAAATTTGGGGTGTCCAGATTCAAATACCATTCAAATATCAGTTCTCAAGGACACCAGACCCCTTTAATTTCGAACACTGCATTGATACAACTGTCGTATGACCGTGACCTGGGAGTTCAAGGACAGTGGCTGACCTTGTGTAGGCCCAGTAGTTGCTGGCCTTCATGTTGAGGTCGGACGGGCTGCCGGACAGGCCGCAGAAGGCCGTCATGCAGGACACCCCCGGCCCGAGCTGGTCCACCAGATTGTAGTAGCCTGCAGACACACATTGCTCAGTCAGTTCTGTTTGTTTGTTTGTTTGTTTGTTTGATGTTTAATGCCGAAATCAGCAATATTCCAGCTATATGACAACGGTCTGTAATTAATCGAGTCTGGACCAGACAATCCAGCGTTTGACATTATGAGCATCGATCAATGCAATTGGGGTACAATGACATGCATCAACCAAGTCAGCTTGCCTGACCACTCGATCCCGTTAGACGCCTCTTATGACAAGCATGGATTGCTGAAGTTAATCTTAACCCGATACATATGATACACATCTCTATGATATGGTGACAATATGATACAATATCCCAATGACTTGACACTTGACATGAACAGTAACCCAATTAAACAAGATTGAGTAGAGTCATTTGTCTAAAACTGTGGCTGAAGGCCTGTACTGTTTCGTATTGATACAAGACTCTCTTCATTTTCACACAGTTGACTTTCATCAGTATTAATACTATTCCTAGCAGTTATGCCTTTGTAACTCACAAGATTTCTCCGCAATCTCCTTCGGGATCAGTGTCTTGAAGGTGTTGCGTGCCCCCGCATCAGAGATCACCTGTTTGGCAAATACGTCCACCTCTCCCGAAGCACTGCTGGTGACACGGACACCTTCACACAAAGAAACGAGTGAGTAAAGGAGTGAAAGTCTGCAAGGTTAATGTTCGAGGTTTTCAGAAATCATTCTTCAAATACTGGAACATGAAGAACTGTTTCACCAACGCTGATATCCTCACAAGTCAGTAGAGACAGTACAAACTTATTGATGTCATCTTTGATCTAGGACTTGCTCAAGGGTACATGTTCCCTTGAAGTTTGACAATACAGCCTTTTTTACTAATTGTAGCCATACTTATGTATTTTATCAAGCTTTGTGCAACATTGTGAGTGTAAGAAAGATACAGGCTACCTGTGGGTATTGTCAATATGCCTGATAGGCTACGTACCAGCATCGTATTGTATTGCCTTCCGTAAGTTGGTAGGAAAACATTACCAGTGGGCCAAATTCATGATTATCCACCCATTATCTGTACCCTACGAACCCACGAGTTCTGAAAGGACCTGTGAGATCACGGATCATCTAAGGGAAACAACTCTCACATGGGGAGCCACACTAACACAGGTTATGTACCCTCCGAACCTCACGGATCATCTAAGGGAAACAACTCTCACTTGGGGAGCCACACTAACACAGGTTATGTACCCTCAGAACCTCATGGATCATCTAAGGGAAACAACTCTCACAAGTGGAGCCACACTAACACAGGTTATGTACCCTCCGAACCTCATGGATCATCTAAGGGAAACAACTCTCACATGGGGAGCCACACTAACACAGGTTATGTACCCGCCAAACCTCATGGATCATCTAAGGGAAACAACTCTCACAAGGGGAGCCACACTAACACAGGTTATGTACCCGCCAAACCTCATGGATCATCTAAGGGAAACAACTCTCACAAGGGGAGCCACACTAACACAGGTTATGTACACTCCGAACCTCATGGATCATCTAAGGGAAACAACTCTCACATGGGGAGCCACACTAACACAGGTTATGTACCCTCCGAACCTCATGGATCATCTAAGGGAAACAACTCTCACATGGGGAGCCACACTAACACAGGTTATGTACCCTCCGAACCTCATGGATCATCTAAGGGAAACAACTCTCACAAGGGGAGCCACACTAACACAGGTTATGTACCCTCCGAACCTCATGGATCATCTAAGGGAAACAACTCTCACATGGGGAGCCACACTAACACAGGTTATGTACCCTCCAAACCTCATGGATCATCTAAGGGAAACAACTCTCACAAGGGGAGCCACACTAACACAGGTTATGTACCCTCAGAACCTCATGGATCATCTAAGGGAAACAACTCTCACATGGGGAGCCACACTAACACAGGTTATGTACCCTCCGAACCTTATGGATCATCTAAGGGAAACAACTCTCACATGGGGAGCCACACTAACACAGGTTATGTACCCTCCGAACCTTATGGATCATCTAAGGGAAACAACTCTCACATGGGGAGCCACACTAACACAGGTTATGTACCCTCCGAACCTCATGGATCATCTAAGGGAAACAACTCTCACAAGGGGAGCCACACTAACACAGGTTATGTACCCTCCAAACCTCATGGATCATCTAAGGGAAACAACTCTCACATGGGGAGCCACACTAACACAGGTTATGTACCCTACGAACCCACGTGTTCTGAATGGAGCTGTAAGATTACAGATCATCTAAGGGAAACAACTCTCACAAGCGGAGCCACCCTAACATAGCTTGTAAGACCCATAAACCCACGTTTTCGGAATGGAGCTGTAAGATCACGGATCATCTAAGGGAAACAACTCTGCAAACACCACACCACCAATGTCCTTAACACAGGTTCTAAGCCTTATAAACCAAATTACTCTTTCAAACTGACCCCTTGTCAATTATTATCACCTTTTTCCAAAGAAAATCTGTAAATACAAACAAATAAGTCATCTCACCTATAGCTTTGCCTTTGTCATTGAAGAGGATGCTTGTGACTGGAGCGTTGACCAAAACCTTGCTGCCGTACTTCTCAATAGCTCGGACCAGGTGCAAGGTGATCTCGCTGGTGCCGCCATCGGGGTAGTACGCCCCCTTGCGGTAATGGTCCACAAGCATGGAGTGCATCGCGAAGGGAGCCTCGCTTGGCAGGAGCCCTGCACACCAGGACAAATTGGTAATTTATTTCATCTTTTTTTTTCTTCTTTTTTTTATTCCGCAATGAGCAATATTCCAGCTTTATGACAGCTGCAGAATAATCAAGTTTAGACCAGACAATCCAGTGATCAATATCAAGCATTGATCCATGCGTTTGGGTATGATTACATGCACAATCAACCCAATTCATTGTCCCCTCTTTAGACCAGCATTGTTGATCTGTTCTAACCCAGACTCCTCAGAGGGTCCGAGACATCAGTGGAGTTGTTTGTTTGTTTGTTGTTTAACACAGCACTCAGCAATATTCCAGCTATATGACGGCGGTCTGTAAATAATCAGGTCTGGATCAGACCATCCAGTGATTGACATCATGAGCACCAATCCACGCAATTGGGATGATATGATGACATGCATCAACCAAGTCATCGAGCCTGACCACCCAATCCCGTCAGTCACCTCTTCTGGCAAGCATGGGTTGCTGATGACCTATTCTACCCTGGATCTTCTTCGAAGTCAACAGTTAATGTTAAGATTTATGTTCAGATTTTGACTCAGACTTGTATATTTCAAGAAATTTCTTTAAATTTCTTATGCAGATATCAATAAGAAGAAGAAGAAGAAGCAAGTTTTTCTTATGATTGAATAATGATCATCCTACAAGAAATTGACAAATCCAAGATAAAAATGTTTTTCTATCCTCGTAGTCACCCTAGTCACAAATTATGACAAAAATACCTCCCAAATAATTCTACACAAGCCAGGAGAAGACAGTGAAGACATTACCGTAGTCGCCGAGGATGTAGGACAGGACTGCCCGCAGTTCCTTGTTAGACGTCACACCATCAAGGACGCTCTTCAGGGATGTGTTGGCGTACTTGAAGAAGCCACCAAAGAACAAATTGAACAGGCCCGTTGCCACTAGCAACCTAGCAAGCCACTTTGGCAGCATTTTCAGGACCACTGGGCCGGCATTCCCTTTCTGTGCAGTCTGGCGAAACAACCAATTAGTGACGTTCTTCACAACCAATTAATGAGATTCTTCACAACCAGTTAATGACATTCTTCACAACCAGTTAATGACATTCTTCACAACCAGTTAACGGGATTCTTCACAACAAATTAACATGATTCTTCACAACCAATAAACGAGATTCTTCACAACCAATAAATGACATTCTTCATAACCAATCAATGACATTCTTCACAACCAGTTAATGATATTCTTCACAATCAATTAACATGATTCTTCACAACCAATTAACGAGGTTCTTCACAACCATTAAACATGATTCTTCATAACCAATCAATGACATTCTTCACAACCAATTAACATGATTCTTCACAACCAATCAATGACATTCTTCACAACCAATTAACATGATTCTTCACAACCAATTAACGAGATTCTTCACAACCAATCAATGACATTCTTCACAACCAATTAATGAGATTCTTCACAACCAATTAATGACATTCTTCACAACCAATTAATGATATTCTTCACAACCAATTAATGACATTTTTTACGACCATTAAATGAGATTCTTCAAAGCCAATTAATGACATTCTTCACAACCAATTAATGACATTCTTCACAAACAATTAATGACATTCTTCACAACCAATTAATGAGATTCTTCACAACCAATCAATGACATTCTTCACAACCAATTAACATGATTCTTCACAACCAATTAACGAGATTCTTCACAACCAATCAATGACATTCTTCACAACCAATTAATGAGATTCTTCACAACCAATTAATGACATTCTTCACAACCAATTAATGATATTCTTCACAACCAATTAATGACATTTTTTACGACCATTAAATGAGATTCTTCAAAGCCAATTAATGACATTCTTCACAACCAATTAATGACATTCTTCACAAACAATTAATGACATTCTTCACAACCAATTAACATGATTCTTCACAACCAATCAATGACATTCTTCACAACCAATTAACATGATTCTTCACAACCAATTAACGAGATTCTTCACAACCAATCAATGACATTCTTCACAACCAATTAATGAGATTCTTCACAACCAATTAATGACATTCTTCACAACCAATTAATGACATTCTTCACAACCAATCAATGACATTCTTCACAACCAATCAATGCGATTCTTTACAACCATTAAATGAGATTCTTCACAACCAATTAATGAGATTCTTCACAACCAATTAATGACATTCTTCACAACCAATTAATGAGATTCTTCACAACCAATCAATGACATTCTTCACAACCAATCACTGACATTCTTCACAACCAATTAATGTGATTCTTTACGACCATTAAATGAGATTCTTCACAACCAATCATTGACATTCTTCACAACCAATCAATGACATTCTTCACAACCAATTAATGGCTTTCAGTTTTGTACTGTGTCATACAGTTCATTACCTTTACGGCTGCCCTGTACACTGTCATACAGTATCATATGGTTTCATACAGCGTCATACAGTGTCATACAGTTCATTACCTTCACGACTGCCCTGTACTTGTTAATGGCCTCCGTCTCCCCGGGGAACATAGAGTGTAGGTTTTCATAGTACTGCTCGCGCCCTGACTTCATTGGGTACAGCTTGGCCTTCCCGGGGGGACCCAGCGCCACCTGTACACAGAACATGTAACTACAGCTAAATACACACAACAGTACTGCTCGCCCTGTCTCCATTGGCCCGGCCTTCCCGCGGGGACCCAGCACCACCTGTACACAGAACATGTAACTACAGATAAATACACACAACAGTACTGCTTGCCCTGTCTCCATTGGCCCGGCCTTCCCGGGGGGACCCAGCGCCACCTGTACACAGAACATGTAACTACAGATAAATACACACAACAGTACTGCTCGCCCTGTCTCCATTGGCCCGGCCTTCCCCCGGGGACGCAGCGCCACCTGTACACAGAACATGTAACTACAGATAAATACACACAACAGTACTGCTCGCCCTGTCTCCATTGGCCCGGTCTTCCAGCGGGGACCAAGCGCCACCTGTACACAGAACATGTAACTACAGCTAAATACACACAACAGTACTGCTCGCCCTGTCTCCATTGGCCCGGCCTTCCAGCGGGGACCAAGCGCCACCTGTACACAGAACATGTAACTACAGCTAAATACACACATCAGTACTGCTCGCCCTGTCTCCATCCTTACTTAGTACTTTTAAATGGCTATCAAAACAGTTGAAATCTTCTGGGTATGTTGTCAATTCTACCAGAACTGGTCGTTACCATGGTTACTGGCGTTGTCCGTATTGTCCATGGCATTTTTCTGTGGACTTATAAACGATGCAGGTCATGTTAACCTACTTAGCACAGGTGATGACTAACCCAGAATCATAATCAGGGCAACTGGGATTCAAACCCACAATCAAAGATTCTGGCAGGTATTCAGTGAGTGAGTGAGTTGGGTTTAACGCCGCTTTTAACAGTATTCAAGTTATATCATTGCGTGCCAGCTTAATGTGGGAGGAAAGCCCGAAGTGATGCAGGTCTAAGACGTTTACCACTTCGGTGAAACCCATGAGCACGGGTATGGTGCCGACAAACCTAGAAACATAAATGGGGCGAACCGGGATTCGAACCCACAATCATAGGTTTCTGGCGTGCCCAAGGGACGCAACTCTGCACAGCGAATCGCGGGGCCTTAGACGACTGGGCCACCCGTGCCCCCTGTCAGGTATTCAACTCTGCACAACACATTGCAGTTGTTCATAACCCTAAACAAGCGTATTATATTTAAGAGAGCCCAGGTAAATTCAACAAGAAAAGTTATGTCAATTTTTGTTTGTTTGTTTGTTTAACGCCACACTCAGCAATATTCCAGCTATTCGACAGCAGACTGTAAATAGTCAAGTCTGGACCAGATAATTCCAGTGATTGACATCATGAGCATCAATCCACTTAATTGGGATACGATGACATGCATTAACCAAGTCAGTGAGCCTGACCACTCGATCATGTTAATCACCTCTTATGACAAGCATAGTCGCCTTTTATGGCAAGCATGAGGACCTATTCAACCCAGGATCTTCATGGGTCCAATATTTGCGCTGGAACATGTAGAAAATGTTCAAGGATATTTTGATGCAATATATCATATTGACCAGGAATCGAACCTGGGTCTTCGGCGTGACAAGCAAACGCTTAAACCACTAGGTTACCCGACCTCCCCTAATATGGGATGAAAGCCCAAAGTGGTGCAGGTATCAGACTTTTAGCACTTTGGTGAAACCCTCAAGCACGGGCATGGTGCTGGCAGGACTTGTAACAATCAGAGGAAGCAGGACTCAAACCATGATCAATGGTTTCTGGCATACCCAAGCAATGCAAATCTGCACAGCGAACTGCAGGGTTGGCAATTTGGGCGCCTGTACCCCCAGGGCTCTGGATGAGATGATACTCACTTAGACCACCTGACCTCCACTTGATCCCCATGGTAGCCATATCTTATGACAATCCCATTTGGGATCTGGGGCGGTCGGGTAACCTAGTGGTTAAAGTGTTTTGCTCGTCACACCGAAAACCTGGGTTCAACTCTCAACATGGGTACAACATGTGAAGCCCATGTCTTGATATTACTGGCATATTGCTACAAGCGGCATAAAACAAACTCACTCACAATTTCGGATCTATCTCACTAGGAGTCCTTGCAGACGTCTCAGAGACTACCAATAACTATCTGGAATCCCAGTTAACAGACATCCCTGGCCCATGGCTTGTATCGTCCTTGTCAAACTTACCACATCAAAAGCATCGTCCAGCGGCACCCACTGCAGCTGGCCCTCGGTCAGCTGGTCAACAGCTGTGGACAGCATGCTCCGGCCATCCATGTCCCCCACGTAGTGGATACCTGGACACACAAGGTGACATCACAACCTGATACAGCAACAGGTGATGTGTTGGTTCTACACACCAGCACCTGGACACACAAGGTGACATCACAACCTGATACAGCAACAGGTGATGTGTTGGTTCTACACACCAGCACCTGGACACACACGGTGACATCACAACCTGATACAGCAACAGGTGATGTGTTGGTTCTACACACCAGCACCTGGACACACACGGTGACATCACAACCTGATACAGCAACAGGTGATGTGTTGGTTCTACACACCAGCACCTGGACACACAAGGTGACATCACAACCTGATACAGCAACAGGTGATTGGTTGGTTCTACACACCAGCACCTGGACACACACGTTGACATCACAACCTGATACAGCAACAGGTGATTGGTTGGTTCTACACACCATGACATGCTTTCTAAGTTCATGACATCACCCACAAGAAAAAAGGTAGCAACTACAAACTGCAGTTTAAATATTGTAGAGAATGAGGTATTTATTATTAGTTAGTGAGTGAGTTGGGATTAATGCTGCATTGAATTCCATTTATTTATTTTTTAGCCTGTCGACACACAGGAAGAGGTAATATTTGTTTGTTTTGTTTGTTTGTTGATTAATGCTGCACTCAGCAATATTCCAGCTATATATAATCGAGTCTTGACCAGACAATCCAGTGATTGGCATCATGAGCATGGATCCATGCAATTTGGATATGATGATATGCATCAACCAAGTCAACGAGCCTGACCACTCGATCCCATTAGTCGCCTCCTACGACAAGCATAGTCGACTTTTACGGCAGGCATGGGTTGCGGAAGACCCATTCAAACCAGGAATTTACACGAGTAGCACCAGTCAGTGAGTATGACTTGCCAACGACCATTACAAAGGCCTTGAAAGGACAAGATAGATGACTTCTGAACAATGTATCATCACATGTAAGGGTGGACTCAATCAACCGTCAAATGGAAGACCGTCCATGTCATATCATGGAGGACCACGCAGATTTGCTTTGAGAAATGTTTTGTTCTTGAAAAAACTGGAAAATGTTCCCCCAGTGTTCACATGCTGCTTTTGGCAGAGTGAGTGAGGGAGTGAGTTAGTTTGGTTTTACGCCGCTTATAGCAATATTCCAGCAATATCACGGCGGGGGACACCAGAAATGGGCTTCACACATTGTACGTCGGGAATCGAACCCGGGTCTTCGGCGTGGCGAGCGAACGCTTTAACCAGTAGGCTACCCGACCGCCCCGCTTTTGGCAGAGATTTCTTATGAATATGGAAAGGGTTTTGTCACTTTTATATATAATGAACAAATGTTTAAGGTACAGAGAGACGTTTGGTAGCAGCAACCAAAAATATGTTCTGTCTCGGACAAAAAGATCCCCTCCTAAACACCTAGCATTATGGCTAATGAGTGAGTGAGTGAGCTAGCATGTTTTTACACCGCTTTTAGCAATATTCCAGCAATATCGCGGCGGGGGACTCCAGAAATGATCTTCACACATTGTACCCATGTCGGGAATCGAACCCAGGTCTTGGGCATGACGGGCTAACGCTTTAACCACTTGGCTACCTGACCGCCCCATATGGGTAATGAAGATGAAGACCATGGCGGCGATACTTTCATGACGTGAGTGATATACAGAGCTCCAGACAACTTTTTGAGCACCTGAGTTTTTACTATAGGAGTTCTATTTTAATTGGGTTATTACATTTTTCATTAGGTAACCAATATTTCTTCACACAAATTAGTGAACATTTTAAGATTTTAAAAAAAAATGAAATAATGTTTTAGATGTGTATAAATGTTCAAAATAAATAGGCTCAACTCAGGAAGTAAATAAGCTCAAAATTGTGTTTCTGAAATTAGCTCCTTTGTACGAATGCTGAAAAAACTTCAATCGGTATTTACGCGTGTTGATTTATACATTTGAGTTTTTCATTTAATGCATTCGCTTCTGTATGTAAATTAAGTGAAAGTAATTTGGTTTTGAATATTTAGGGGGCGGGATTTTACGCAGATCTGCTTGTTATCTGTAGCTGTGCTATAAGAGCTGAGTAGGGTAGCTGCACTCAGGGACACGGTTATGTAAACTACTTCTCTGCTGTACAGTCTCAGTCCAAAGTCCAGTTGGATTTCAGAGGCCATTTACCTCCACCCCAACCTTGTGCAGACAAGGTCCAAAGTCCAAACACACATTCCACTGTCGCCAACATTATCATGCTGAGACTGCTGACTCAACAATCAATTCTTTGTACCTATTTGTACCTATTTGTACCTATTTGTATCTACAGATTTCATAACATATAAAAAGGTCAGCAAAAGGTTTTAACCCTTTTAGGCCTAACCTAAATTACTGATTCATATCTAATATACTGACTAATAAAACATATAAATCTGCCTCTGTCTGTTATTCTTAAATGGTTTGGAAGGTGAATTCAAACATCCTTTTCATAACATTGGGTTGTGTTGACCGACATGATTTTCAGTGTACATTGACAGCCCTTGCAGGCTCCAAAGTTGCGACTAAAACGGTAGCCAGTGAGACCTAAAGTTCAATTTGTCTACTGTCTAAAATTCAGAGGAAGCCAAATGACTACCTTGAAAAATATCTTGAGGCGACTAAATTCTATTGCTACACATATGTAGACACAATAAACATGTCTGCTACTAATTGTACTCGCAAATATTTCCTCCTAAATTCAACAATGAACCGAAATGCATAAATATTAATGCAATTAGTATTTTATTTTAGTTGATAGTTTATTGGATAAGCAAGAATATACCTATATAATCTAGTAACATAAATTGCATCATTGTTCGAGTCACACAAAAAACAACTCAAGTACAGTTTCCACTAATATATCATTCCAAGACTAGTGCTCTGACTTGAACATAAAATAGTAAGATGATAAAAGATAATTTCAAATGATTTTGGCTACCTACAATAATGGCTTGTCTTCTTGATTTTACCTCTGCCTACCTGGAAAACAATACTTGTAGCCTTGGTAAAAATTTAAACTTTGAGGCCTGCCTTGAGATTATTGCGCAGTGAGTTGTGTCAGACCCCACGGCCTCCCCTTTCAAATCCCTCCTCCCTGCATGTGTGGCACCCACCCCACACATACTCCTCCCCCCCCCCCCCCACACACACATACCCCTCCCACCCCACACATCCCTCCCACCACTCACATACCTCTCCACCCCACACACCCCTCCCACCACTCACATACCCCTCCCACCCCTCACATACCCCTCCCACCCATCCCACCACTCACATACCCCTCCCACCCCACACATACCCCACACACCCATCCCACCACACACATACCCCTCCCACCCCACCACTCACATACCCCTCCTACCCCACACATACCCCTCCCACCCCACAAATACCCCTCCCATCCCACACACACCCATCCCATCCCACACACCCCTCACATACCTCTCCACCCCACACATACCCCTCCACCTGAAACATACCTCTCCCACCCCACACACACCCCTCCAACCCCCTCCCATCCCACCCCATACACACACCCCTCCCATCCCACCTCATACACACACCCCTCCCACCCCACGCATGTCAACCGACCTGTATCAAACTCGAACCCCTTCTCCCTGAAGGTGTGACAACATCCCCCGGCCTGGTCATGCTGCTCCAGCACCAACACCCGCTTCCCCGCCTTCACCAACAGCACCGCCGCTGACAATCCCCCCGCACCGCTGCCGATGATCACCGCATCCAACTTCTCTGGTACTTTAGTCTTCTTGAATCCTAAAACAGACATTGTAATTCAACAATGTAACTCAACATAGTATCACTCTATTTGCAACATTCAACATCAGAACTCAATATTACAACATTGTAACATTATAACATTGTAACTGAACCATGTGAACACTGTATCTCAGTGTTACAATCGCCCAATCCAACATCCACTATAACACATAACAGTAGTTCAGACGAATCATATCACTGTTATATGACTGAGTGTTAAAAAAACAAATCAATATACATTACACAGATAAAAGAATGTTTCACCCTAGTTGTGTGCCCCGTGTGCGAAATACGCTACAGTCGGAAAGCGCACGTTAAATCTTCTATATCAGTCAGTTGTGTGTGGAAAATCAGAATACACCACCCTGGCAATGTACAATGGTGTAGATACAATGGCTGGTTCATGTCAAGTGTATTTGCTATTCCCAGCTAGTATACAACAGATTTATCAAGGATTCTAAACTAACTTCTCCTGGCAAATAGGGAAAAATCTTTATTTTCTTCAATATTGGTATATCATTTTAAGTCCATATTTTCCTAAATGCAGAGATATTTTAACATTGTATTTTGAGATTGCATTCAATGCAATATAAAACAAAACATTCACCTCTTCCTATTTATTGGTCATGTTATAAGATGATGATGTTTGTTATTTAACGCTGCACTCAGCAGTATTCCAGTTATACGACAGAGGTCTGTAAATAATCAAGTCTTGACCAGACAAACCAGTGATTAACTTCATGAGCATCAATCCACGTATTTGAGATACGATGACATGCATCCACCAAGACAGCAAGCATGACCACCTGATCCCATTAGTCACCTCTTACGACATGCATAGTCACCTTTTAAGGCGAAACGGGTTACTGAAGACCTACTCTACCCCGGATCTTCACAGGTCATCCTGTTATAAGCATAGTCAGAGCAGTTCTTGGTACTTCTACAAAGCCACAACATTGGTTATTAGTGAGTGAGTGAGTGAGTATGGTTTTACGTCGCTTTTAGCAATATTCCAGCAATATCACGGCAGGGGGACACCAGAAATGGGCTTCACACATTGTACACATGTCGGGAATCGAACCCGGGTCTTCGGCGTGACGAGCGAACGCTTTAACCACTAGGCTACCCGACCGCTCCTCACATTGGTTATTACTTATATCTCATGATGCATATTAACATGAATTGGGAAATCTGGAATTTTTACTGACATTTGCTACAGATTTAGGGCAAAATATTTGCAGGTCTAGACAAATATGAGTATAATGTAATTAAAATCTTAAGAGTCAGCACGTAATACACACTGTGAAAAAATGATGCAACATCCATGAACACCACATCAGTATTATATAATCATCATGATGGACATAATGAGTTACTGAATTAATGAACTGACATTTGTTCAAAATAACATTACACAGCATTACATCAACCACAGGTTGGGATTTGGGTACTGGAGCCTGAGTGATGTTATGTAACTGACACTCACATTACAGCTTGAAACACAATTCATCTTGACCCCCTGCCTGACCCGCCTGCCCGACCCGGCATGACCCGCCTGCCCGACCCAGCATGACCTTGCCATGCTGCTGTCCCTATCAGTCTCACACTACAGCAGCATGGCAGTGCTGATAACCTTCACCCCCGGCCTGACACAGATGAACCAGTGTCATAAAGATACACTTCGATACACTTTGAGTGGGTGGAGAAACTGGATGGAACACGACTCACCTGCCACCGACATGACCGGAGGCCACAATAAATTAATTATCAGATACTTAACCATTTTCTTTCAAAAATGGGACCATGATGAGGTCGGGGAAATATATCTATAAAATCTTCTTAAAGGTAAAGTGAAAATGGGGCTCTAACATCGCGTTTAACATTATTGTGATGTGTATGCACACATGCGTGTGACTGCTTGTACTAGTCCGGATTTATGCCAGTAATATAGTGCTAGTCCTTGTTTTAAGATCTTTATGCGGCTCCCAATGAAGGGTAACAACAAGTAGCATCTTTTAACGTATTTTGGTAAGACACAGCCAGGGATCGAACCAGAGACCTTCCACTCTCAGGACAGACGCTGTATCCACTTGACCAGAGGCATTCAAATTTTTATTTACTGATTGACACGAGCATCAATCCACGTAATTGGGATATGATGACATGCACCAACCAAGTCAGCGGGCCTGACCACCCGATCCCGTTAGTCGCCTCTTACGACAAGCACAGTCTTATTTTATAGCAAGCATGGGCTGTTGAAGACCTATTCTACCCCGGATCTTCACAGGTACATTTGGTAGTGAAGCAGAAAAGGATGAAAACCTAATTGTTAATTTTTTTATGGCCTAACCTAAAGACTCTGGATGATGCTCTATCAAGTGCATCTGCATGTACACAATTCTGAAGTATGGTGTATGGTTTCAGGAAGCTACGATGGAAGCAGTTTAGAGTAACAAATATCCATATATGCTCGTAACCTCATTTATTCTAGTTATAGTATTAATAGATCTCTCATGAGTAAATCTGCCTCTGATAACCATGATAACAATGCAGATAGAATATCGTTATTTCATTGTGATAACACTTGTAATCAGTCAGAATAGAACTGGGCTAAATAACATCGAATTGAAACTGAGGGGTTAGCTCTACAAAAGATGGATGTAATCATTCTAATAGCAATAGTATTATACTAATAGCGATCCGTTCTGATCAAAGTGGCAAGACTACTGTACTCCCCACCCTAAAAAAAAAGATATCTACTGGGAATGAGCACCTATTAAACTAGTAATCTATAATAGTGAGTGAGTGAGTGAGTATGGTTTTACGCCGCTTTTAGCAATATTCCCGCAATATCACGGCGGGGGACACCAGAAATGGGCTTCACACATTGTACCATGTGGGGAATCGAACCCGGGTCTTCGGCGTGGCAAGCGAACGCTTTAACCACTAGGCTACCCGACCGCCCCAGTAATCTATAATAAAAATAGGCACCGTTAGAAATTGGTAATAGTCCTGTAGTCCTTGCCAAACTGCCCAATATCATAAGGACTGGTAGAAATTTGCCCTTCTAATGGTTTTGCTATATATATTATCATCATAATGACTAGTGGACTAAAACTGTTAGTTTCTATAACTGACAGGCCTACATATCTTTCCAATTTGTGGTAATTAATCATATTTTCATTCATAAATCATATTTTTATTATTATTAATCATACTTATCATTGTTTTTTTCATCATATATATTGATCATATATATTGACCTGCATTTCATAATGCATGTATGACTAGCTATAAAGAGGGTTACCAGCTGATTGAAGATGAAAGGGGTACAATAGCAATGAGAACATTGTTCTAATACACAGATAAATAATGTGGAGTCGAGCACACGGGTCTGTACAACGAACACCTGCTTCAACTTACTCTGTTTCAGCACGGCGTCTCGCACTTTGTGCTCCAAGACCAGAGGCTCGCGGGGTCGGCGGGCATCACAAGCGACGGGATTTCTTCCTGGTCTTGCTCCTCCGAACAACACCGATAAAGTATATATGAAGACATATATCAAAAGCAGCCACAGCACAATGGAGGGATTTTTAAAAAGGTAGTCAACAAGAACATCAAGAGAAAATATATTCATCTTGATTCTTGTCCACAGAGAGCAACTAGACCTTTGCCTTCGGCTTATCTGAAATAAACGATATGAGTCGCATGTCGTTACATTCCGTTAGAGTTATCTCCCCGGAAGCACTCTTTAGAATAGAATGTCAGCTCTAAGCATCGCTTTACTTCGTGCTCAGTGATAACAATATGACATAGAACAATCTACATCACTGCATGGAGCAAGGCCTAAGTTGCCAAACGTTTTGTTGATGTTTGTAAGATGTTACTTCCAAACGTATATCTGTGATGTCCTATTCAAGAGCAATGGCAGATGACAACGAATTAGACAAATTTAGGAATGAATGGAAAAATGAATTGTCACATTCAGGTTTACCTGGAGAATCTAATAAGACAGATGTGACACCGGGACACTCTCATTCTCCATCTGAGAAATCTAACGCACCGCAAACGTCTGCTGGAATATTGTTGCAGAAGTCAAAACCACATGTGTATGAACCAACAGAAGAGCCCCCTAAGCAAGCAGAAGGTCAAGTCCACCAAGAAACTGAAGAACAAACATACTATCCGTTTAGAATTTTGGGGAAGTTATTAAATGAAGGTTCTAACCCAACGGAGGATGTGGGTAAATCTCAATGCAAAAGAAAATATTTTGCGGAAGAAGCACCAGGTGACAGAAATGTGACCTTGAAGAAGAGACATTGTGACCTGACTAATTCTGTTGGTCAGAAAGGTCCTCCCATACCAAATGTTTCCCAGTCTCAGGATAAAACACGTGTGAAAACAAGCGAACGATTTTTGGACTTATTTATAGCAGACCTGGTAAATAAACACATCTAGTCTAATGTTCTATGTAGTGACTTAATATGTAGATCTAATGGGTCATTATCTATGATCGGGGAGTGGGTAGTCTTGCGGTTCCATTCCCCATATCATACAAATGGTTACAAGGTGTGAAGCCTGTTTCTGGTGTCTTCCCTCACTTCACATACAATTGATGACCTCAATCAATCTCATTAAAATCAGATCCTAGTACTCGCTATCGCTAAACAAAGATCTGAGGACATCTCAGTATGGGTCACGTCAGAACGACCTTTCATCCGACCAATCAGAGTGTCGGAATGTGTTTCTAATCATGCAACCTCAAAAACGGCAACACAGGGTATTCCGAACGACAGTTACGACCCGTACAACTGATTCATCAAAATTATCGTCTATCTCTCGCTTCAGTGGGATAAACATTTGAACGGAGAAGGCGTTGAACAGTATATGGGAAGCATTGCTATACAATCTCAACTATATATTAGACATTCCGGAATGTTCGTTTGTTCAGGTTTCAAAATTTTAATCGAGAACTGTGTCAACATATTTTTCAAGCTTAATCTGAAATGGAAGTCGCCAGGTTGAAACGACTGCCGTAAAGCTCGAGAAAGCTGCTTTCTAATTGGCTGATGTCATCTTCTTGTTGGTCTTTTCCGTGGTTGGTCAAAGTTTGCGAAAGGTCGTTCTGACGTGACCCGTATTGGAATGTCCTCAGATCTTTGTTTAGCAGCAGCGAGAACTCAGATCTGATTTTAATGAGATTGTGATCTCACTGCGATTGCCACAATTACATCAAAGGGAGGATGCTTCCTAACAACATGTCAATATCCATTCAAGCCTAATTAATAGGTAGCCTTTCATCAAATGTGCAAGCTGATTACTGTTTACACATTAGCATCAAGTGAGTTCGACACAACAAAGTTTGACTGTATTTAATAAAATTGCAGCTTGCAAACAAATAAAGTGGCATTTGAAGCAAGAAAATCGAACTTGCTGGGACTGCCAGTTAGCCTGAGTGTAGCCCCCCTTTAAGGAGGCAGGGATTTATCTGGATCCATCTTTTCAAGTCCAGGTGACTCACTAATACATTAAGGGAGTCCAAGGCTGGGTGTGCTTCACTTCAACTGCGGTCACATCATTGAACATACTCAGTAGCCTTAAGCCTATTATTGATGGTGATTTCAGTGTTAGGCTGACGATGATCAGCCACTGCACGCTGAGCTTTTCGTTACCTGTAACATGCAATCTGTAGTTTTGATAACATTTTGACATCCTAAAGAACTTGCAATGTAAGCTATTTGTGTCCATAATCAATTTGCATGTGTAGCAAGGCATGATGTCATCCCACGGATGACATCCATACCTTGTCAGCTTGCTGAGAGGCTTAACCTCTTTGGTCATGTCGACAAGGCATCTTGATTAGAAAGTCCATGGTTCGAATCTCATCACTGGGGTTGGAAATGTTATGGTACTACACATGCATAAAGTGTTCAATATTTCCAACCCAGTAGAGGTATGTCGTGTTCATTGAATCTTCCACTGAATCACCCTCACTCACCTAATCTGTTTGTCTGTTTCAGGATGAGATAAATGAAATTCCTTTCTTCGATGTGTCATTACCACGAGAAGTGGCTGTACAGATATTCAAGCATTTGGCCATGGAAGACCTCTGTCATTGTGCACAGGTAACCATGGTAACTGTATTCTCACTTCGCACACAATAGGATGCCATTGTGCCCAGGTAACCATGGTAACTGTACTCTTACTTCCCATGCAATATGATGCCTTTGTGCCCAGGTAACCATGGTAACTGTACTCTCACCTCCTGAAATTACCTACCGCCTCCGTGGTCTAATGGTAGAGCATCCGACTGGAGAGCGGAAGGTCCGGGGTTCGATCCCCGACCGCGTCATACCAAAAGACGTTAAAAGATGGTACTTGTTGTTACCCTGTCTGGCGCTCGGCATTAAGGGGCTAAAACAAGGACTGGTCAGCTCGGAGTCAGTATACTGTGTCTGAGTGGGGTATTCATGTTAAACTGTGGCATGGTATCTCAATGAGCTAGCACTATAAATCGGCATCAGTCCGGCCTAGTACATGTACAAGCAGCCACACATATACATACACGTGCATGCACGTCGCTATATATAAGTGGAATAATCTTGGACGTGACGTTAAACCCCATTTCACCTCACCTCACCTGAAATTACCTTTACTTTCAATTTATGCGTAATATATTTATACAAGAGGTGAAACACTAATTCTTTACTTTAATGTCAGTAATACCAGCCCAAATCCTGTTGCTCTCTGTCCAGTAAGCTCAGCTAATGATAACCTCTTTTTAAGAAATCCAACAATATTCAATCCACTGAAAATGTTTACAAATGACAGGTTTTGGCTGGTGGAGTCAAAAGTGTTTGGTACAGACAGTTTTATTTCCCGAAGTGTTTGCATGCATGCTGTTCATCATATGAGCATTCTCACCAACCTGGGTCCTTGGCCACAAAGCCATCTTACCGCTAAGATGATTGTAACTCCCATAATTTAGCACCGACTTACGACAATTGCAATCATACGACTATGTGGAATGCAGCCCTGTATCCTGCAATAAGACATAATCTGCTGCCTCACAGTGTGCAGTGCATCCTGTTATTGCCTCTCTCACCCCGGGGATGGACTCCTGCAATGGCTGACACTGTGTAAGTGTCTGCAGCTCTAATTAGATTAGTTGCAGAATGTGAAATATATTTCTTTCTGAAATGTCCTCAGCATCTGTAATCTGAGAGAAGTCATCTTGATGCCAACCTGTTGAGGTCTACAGATGTAGCAGGCTAAGGCACAGCATTTCACTGTGCAGTTGCTTCCCTTGGCTGTGTTAGGATCCAGTTCCCATCCTTGTGTGTTCATTGAAGAGGGCTTCACTGCCAGCAGTCTAAGGCACAGCAATTCACTGCAGTTGCTTCCCTTGGGTGTGTCCACCAGCTTTTACTCACTTACTCACTCACTCACTCACTCATGATCAGGGGCGGTCAGGTAGCCTAGTGGTTAAAGCATTCGCTTGTCATGCCAAAGACCTGGGTTCAATTCCCGACATGGGTACAATGTGTGAAGCCCATTTCTGGTGTCCCCCACCGTGATATTGCTGGAATATTGCTAAAAGCGGTGCAAAATCACTCACTCACTCACTCATGGTTTAAATGTGGGATAAATATCCGAAGGATATGTTGCTCTCTCTCCCTCACTCTCTGATTGTCGATGGTTGTTCCAGGTGAGCAAGAGTTGGCGCAGTCTGGCTGATGATGAGCTACTGTGGTGCCAGGTCTGCCACCAGCTGGGGTACGACCAGGATGTGTTTACCCTGGAGAAGACCAACTGGAAGAATGTGGTCCGGCATCACATCCAACAGCGCCGGACCCTCATCACAAACTGGAAAGTAAGTTCAGTTAACAAATGTTTTTTAACCTTCATCACCTACCCTCCTCTATGAAGTGATTAGTTAGAATAAGACCAATTTTGTGCAGATTATCCAAATTTAATGGCTAGTGTTATTGATGTGATAAACCAATCCAATAAATTCGGCATCACGATCTGATAAACATGCAGATGATTGATTCCTGATCTGTGTGTTTTTTTATCTCTGATCTCTGTAGACAAACATGGCTACTTACCATTGGAGCATGTGGCTTGTTTTTTCAAGAAGACAACAAGATCGTTTTTGGTTTTCAAAACACTGGTATGTTTTTTTCAAGAGAATGGCCAGCCTGGGATTAAACGTAAAACATTTTCAGCGGGGTTTTTTTCCTGTTTGTATTTTCGTAATGATTTCTCTATCATGGCATTCTAGACACCCTGTATTAGACTATTCAAACTGGATAAAATATGCCTTTCCCAGGACTAATGACACGAGGTTCTCCCTTATTTACATATATAACAAAAGCAAAAGATTACTCGTCCTTAGGGATCGTGTGAACTAGGAAATTGTGTGAAGGAATGTTGTTCTGAATGTCTCCCGTTTACATTCGAATATGATCATTGTTGATTGGTTCAAATCAGAAATTGTGCACATCATTCCCTGTGAGAAGGAATGGAAGGTTGTGCCAGATGGCTAGTGTTGTGACTGGACAGGGGAATCAGGACAATATATATATATATAATTTACAGCATGTGACAAATATATTTTAGGCCATACAGACAAGTAGAATTATAATTTTGTTAGCCCAAGGTTATTTTTACTAGCCTCGGGCATTCATTTCCATCCCTGCTTTAAAGGGAAAAGGTTCCTGTTTTGACAGATCATAGCTCATAACAATTGTTCCCAGATTGATTGTTCTCCCGACAAAAACACACCAGCGTTTTGAAACCCTAAAATCCTTACGTTTCAATACGTTTGGCCATGGAAAAGATATCATATACTGAACCAAAAAGTTAGGAAAATGTACAGAATGAGCACGTAAATCAGGTGTAAATATGGTCCTAGATTTTCGAAATGATCTTAGCCCTAAATCTATCTTAAAGTTATTGTATGGAAAACGTAGACTGTTGTAGCCTATTTTCAAAACTATCGTAGCCCTAGGACATCATAAGAATGTCTCAAATTTAAGATAACTTGTAAGTTTTGTTTTTTTCATCCAAGATGGTGGCATACTTGACATTTAAACCCCAGTACAGACACATGTCATTTCACCAAAGAAGGGTTGACACTCAAATATGTTGGTAGTGTATGAAGGCAGCATGAAGCCAAGGAACCTGTTGATCTCAGGATTGGCAATGTTGTGCCACTCATGGCTAAGGGCTCATTCAAGGTCATGTACATTGCCAAAAAGAGGATGACATTTCTTACTCTCTGTGAAGGATATCCCATGTGTGCTTCCGGCTGAAACAAGCTGTGTGGGTCAGGCGTTGTCCTGTTTGAATCAAAATCACGGATGTTGCTGTATTGTTAATTTGGGCTTGTTGAATCTAACGTTACGCAATGGTCATGTTCTCTAATTGTTTGATAGGCATTACTATTTGATATGTGCACTTAGAGAACATGACAAACTAGACAAAATTGGATAACACGCACACGCACATTTTCGGTATAGATTCTTATACTGTTGTCAAGCATCGGTATAAGGATCTATGCCAAAATGTCGCTTTTTACAGTATTAAAGAAGTTGTTATCCATAAATTGTGTCTACTTTGTCATGTTCTCTAAGTGCACAAACATTTCCTTCATCCAACAAGAGACCCGTGAAGATGCAGGGTAGAATAGGTGTTCAGCAACCCATGCTTGCCGTAAAATCCAACTATGCTTGTCGCAAGAGGCAACTAACGGAATTGGGTGGTCAGACTCGCTGACTTTGTTGATGCATGTCATCGATCCCAAAGGCGTGGATTGATGCTCATGATATTATTTCCATTATTTAGAGACCACCATCATATAGCTGGAATATTGCTGAGTGCGGCCTTAAACAACAAACCAACCAACCAAATCATCAAACAAGAATGCATTTTTACATGAAGACATGAAACTTGGTTTCTCTCCCATGAATCTCATTGGCTTCCTCTATATTTGATCTTTGTACATTAACTCTACCTTGTGTAAATGTGTGTGTCTGTATGCGTGTGTGGTTTTCAGCTTATGAAGGAGCATTCCTGAATGTCATTATAGACGTTGTTATCCCCAAATGTTCATGCCCACTCTGTATTTGCAGGGTCGACTGGGCAAGTTGTTTCAACTTCAGCATCCGCAGGGAGGCGTGATGTGTGCCGCATCGACATCCGACCCCATCATTGCAGCAGGGTGAGATCAGCTACGGTCACTGGCTGTGTTCATATATATTGTTCATATGTTATCCATTTGTTTATCTAATACGGAGCTTCAGACATGAAGTAGACATCGGAGTAATGTGGACAAGTGTATTCTAGGTACAGCAACAGGGGGTGAAGATGTGGGAACTGTGTAAAGGGGTCACCTGTGTCATTGGGACATCTGAGTAATGTGGACACATGTGTTCTAGGTACAGCAACAGTGATGTGAAGATGTAGTACCTGTATAAAGGGGTCACCTGTGTCATTGGGACATCGGAGTAGTGTGGACCAGGGATCTGGAAAATTTAAAATCCCAATCGGACATTTGCATTTAGGCCACGCCCCCTGCAAATAGCGTATTTTAGTACGACTTTTTACACACACATTACAAGTTGTTACGTATTCATAATATGATGAATTATGAATTGTTTCAATTTAAATTGTTTAATTCACTGGACAATTAATAACAAATAATATCATTTTAGATATATATGGAAAACATACGTTTGTTTCTGTTATAATAACGATCTGTTAAAGTAGTGAACGGTCTAATTAATATTCATGAGTCTGCTCAAGTGTACGCGTTGTAACATTTGGATCGAGACCCTTATCCCATATTTGGTTATCACGTGACCTCACGGGAAAAGGGTTTTTTTAAACTAAAGATTATTTAAAAACAAGACAGATAATATAATCATAAATACTAAAATATCGTTGATAGCAATAGTTATTTGAATACTTTTTTCATCTGTTCTTAATTATTGACCATAAAAAAATTTGATATCGATCGTCACAGAAAGCAAAATGGCGGTCAATCAAGATTCAATATACGACTAGCTACTGAAAACAATAAAATCTGCAAATGCTCATTGTATGTTAACCAAGTGAAAGTCGTTAGCCACGACTTACAAAATGATCATTCAGACTTTGAGGGTTTGGCAGATCCGCTCGACTGATTTGCATCGGTCGACTGGCTGTCGTCACGCTTTCGCTTCTTGTCTGAGGTTACGTATCGTAGCATTGTGAGGATAATGAGGTACATCGATGATGCAAGGTATTTATGTACAGTTGTAAACACATGTTACTCAAATTAACAAGATGTTCTCAGTAATTAATCCTCGATTAATCAGTGTCAACTCAGTTTTTTGACCGATTGGACTATCATGTAGGTAAAATGTATTTACAGCAATCAAAACAAACAAAACTTGTCAGTGTAGATAATCTTCATTGTGTTACAACTGCAGACAGAAACTGCTCAGTCCTAACTGTTGATCACGTCCGGTCAAAATTTAAGAATGTCCAGACAATACTTTTTAAAATGTCCGGACAGAAAAATTTAAATGTCCGGTAAGCAATATTTTAAACCGGACATTTGAGATTCCCAATCGGACATGTCCGGCGCATATGACGGTTTCCGGACCCCTGGTGTGGACACGTGTATTCTAGGTACAGCAACAGGGGGTGAAGATGTGGGAACTGTGTAAAGGGGTCACCTGTGTCATTGGGACATCTGAGTAATGTGGACACATGTGTTCCAGGTACAGCAACAGGGATGTGAAGATGTAGTACCTGTATAAAGGGGACACCTGTGTCGTTGGGACATCTGAGTAATGTGGACACATGTGTTCCAGGTACAGCAACTGGGGGGTAAAGATGGAGTACCTGTGTAAAGGGGACACCTGTGTCATTGGGAAATCTGAGTAATGTGGACACATGTGTTCCAGGTACAGCAACAGGGATGTGAAGATGTAGTACCTGTATAAAGGGGACACCTGTGTCGTTGGGACATCTGAGTAATGTGGACACATGTGTTCTAGGTACAGCAACGGAGACGTGAAGATGTGGGACCTAAATAATGGGGACACCTGTGTATTCCAACCCAGCAGCACAGCACTGAGAATCGATGAGAGAGAGGAGGAGGGCACCGTGCCTAACTACGTCCTCCACGTACAAACATCTCCACACTTTACAGTGGCCAGCTACAAACACCGTAAGTCAGCTTCACCTTCCTGTGCCTGCCAGTTGTGTAAAGGCACTCACTCATGTACTTGATGACCATGTGTAGAACTAGAAGGTAAAAATGATGGCAAAGTATTTTGTGCTACTAGGCTTTGATCTTTTAGTCAGAATGAGGTTGGTTATTTGTGTGACACAGGGTTGGTGAATGTATGGCAGAAGGAAACAACTTTTCTTAACATACATACTTCTCTATACTTGTCTATGGTTTGCATTTATTTTGGCGAGTATATCTGTTATTTATCTGACTGAGGTCTTGAGCTAGGGCTGTTGGATATATCTGTTATTTATCTGAGCTAAGCTGGTGGATATATCTGTTATTTATCTGACCCAGGGGTGGTGGATATATCTATTGTTTATCTCACCCAGGGCTGGCGGATATATCTGTTATTTATCTTAGCTAGGGCTGGTGGATATATCTGTTATTTATCTGAAACAGGTGTGGTTAATATATATTGTTTATATGACAGGGCTTGTAGATATATCAGTTGTTTATCTCACCCAGGGCTGGTGGATATTTCTGTTGTTTTTCTCACCCAGGGCTGGTGGATACCCGGTATATCTATTTTTATCTCACCCAGGGCTGGTGGATATATCTATTGTTTATCTCACCCAGGGCTGGTGGATATATCTGTTATTCATCTAGCCCAGGCTGGTGCATATATCTATTGTTTATTTCACCCAGGGCTGGTGGATATATCTATTGTTTATCTCACCCAGGGCTGGTGGATATATCTGTTATTCATCTGACCCAGGCTGGTGCATATATCTATTGTTTATTTCACCCAGGGCTGGTGGATATATCTATTGTTTATCTCACCCAGGGCTGGTGGATATATCTATTGTTTATCTCACCCAGGGCTGGTGGATATATCTATTGTTTATCTCACCCAGGGCTGGTGGATATATCTATTGTTTATCTCACCCAGGGCTGGTGGATATATCTATTGTTTATCTCACCCAGGGCTGGTGGATATATCTATTGTTTATCTCACCCAGGGCTGGTGGATGTGTGGCAAAATGACCAAGGAGTGAGTCCCGTCAGCTCCTTCCAGTGTGAAGGAGGATGGGACATTACGGCGCTGAAACTGGCACAGTTGTCTCCCCTGTTTGCACTGGCCCAGGGCTACTATGTGCGTGTGTACAGAGCTGAAAACAGCCCAGAATTCTCAATGATTGATAAACTGGACCTTAATAAGATGGTAAGTAGTAAAGGTAGGGTTTTACACTACGGAGAAATGTGCATCCAGTACGCAGAAATATGTAAAATGGACGAAAAAAACATATTATGGTGCATCCCTCATGATGCACAGTAGTATTCATTTGACCAAATTCTTGACAGTAAACACAAATGCCCTGTAAAGAAAGTTATTATCAAATCTTACAGTACAGTACACGGCATCTTACTTTACAGGACCCTGTTATTTCCTGTGAGGAAGCTTGAAATTAATTAAAGGGGCTCTAATCTCTGGCTTCTTCCCAGCTGTCGAGCACTGCACTCAGGGGCTCACGAGTTGCTCGGCAACACAACTGAGTGTGACAAGGGACTGCAATCAGCTGTTCACACATTTTCTCCCCTATCTATGGGGGATTTTGTTTAAAAAATACTTAATGTCATGGCCAATATCATAACTGAAAAGAAATTTCAATACAGTGATAGGAAGACTGAAGGCTTTGTATCTGTAACGACTAATGTTTGTTTCAAGACAAGTTCATGGTGAGTTGATGTGATATGCCAATCAGTTCATACATTAATGTAAACAAAATTGAATGAAATCTTGGATTTGTCCAGATTTTGTACGGATTTGTTGACATGCTACTTCCGATGTTGTGTGCTCACGATAACATCTTAACGTTGTGAAATAAAATCAAAGGTCAATATATGCGTTTATTATGCCTCAATGTGAGATTGAACTGATGAAGATCCAGGGTAGAATGGATCTTCAGCAACTCATGCTTGCCCGATATTTTTCTGCTAACTTAATATGACATTGTATACGGCAAAACACCATAACTAATAGTATATCCTCCCCAGGTGTATCGCAGCACTCCGTATCATTTAAAACTCAATCTCATTGAAATCAGATCTAAACAAAGATCTCAGGACATCACATTATGGGTCACGTCGGACCAACCTTTCGCGAACTCTGACCGATCAATGGAATTACTGTCGACATTAGCCAATCAGAAGGCAGCTTTCTCGTGCTTTATGGCACTAATTGCAAATTGGCGACTATGCTTCGAAACATATTTTGACAAATTCTCACTTAAAAATTTGAAACCTGACCAAAAGAACATTTTCGAATGGCTAACATGTGGTCTAGATTGTATAGATTCAGATGTTAAGCCCGTAACTATCGTTCGGAATACCCCGTTTTAGAGTTTTCGAAGTTGCATGATTAGAAATCACATTCCAACTCTCACTTTCATGATCTGGTAAGCGACACTCTGGTTGGTCGGATGAAAGGTCGTTCTGACGTGACACCTAATGAATGTCCACAGATCTTTGTTTAGCGGTACGAGAACTAAGATCTGATTTTAATGAGATTGTTTAAAACTATGAGCCTGAATTTTTTTTAAATTATGTTTTTGAAGAATTTTTGGGACAAAATGTTTTTCCAAGAAATATGAAATAGTCCGTCCCTAAACATCAAAGACATACTTCACTCCTGGCATTCCTCCCACATTAAGATTACCGAAATACTGTTGAAGCAACGTAAAACTCACTCACTCACTCACTCACTCTCTCCTCAGGTGTGTCACATCCAGTGGCTGGAGCCGCCCTCCCCGCAGTACAACCCAGACTACGCCCTGGCCATCGCTACCCACAACATCGTCAGCCTGTACAGACCAGGGCTGGAACATACCAGTGAGATTCACAACATGATTGACAGCCCTATCTCCTGCTTGGACATGCGCAGTGACCAGGGGCAGATGGGTGTTGGGTGTGGCATGTATGGGCCCACTGAGGGATATAGGGTAAGCCTGATTTTATGGGGTCTCCCCTCAGTGGTAAACAAAACAAATATCTGAAACTAAATTATCACAATCTCACCTAACATTAAAATACTAGCTTCTGATTGGTTCCAGAGCAGGAAATTTTGTTCCGTGTTACCCACTAATGTAGCCTGCTTGGGAATCAATCGGAACATACCTTAGGGTACTTGCTTATCTCACATAAGTATCATTGAGCTCAAATGAATCGATATTTACCCAAATACATTGGGTAAAGGGAAGTAATTTGTGTTGTCTGCTCGCTTTCCAAATGGCTGAATCACAGCCTTTCACTTGGTGAAACTTCAGACATATATTCCGCGTCTTTATAAATGAAGGTCAGTGAGATAAACTGGACTTTTATGGCCGAGTTTATGCCCTTGCCCATGGAAGATGGGTACACAAAGCACATCACGCTATATACCCCTTGAGATCAATAGTAGGTTCACCTGTGTGTATAATCAGCCCTCCTGTTTTAGGTTCACCTGTGTGGTGTAATCAGCCCTCCTGTTGTAGGTTCACCTGTCCTACCTGTGTGGTGTTATCAGCCCTCCTGTTGTAGGTTCACCTGTCCTACCTGTGTGGTGTAATCAGCCCTCCTGTTGTAGGTTCACCTGTCCTACCTGTGTGGTGTAATCAGCCCTCCTGTTGTAGGTTCACCTGTCTTACCTGTGTGGTGTAATCAGCCCTCCTGTTGTAGTCTCACCTGTCTCACCTGTGTGGTGTAATCAGCCCTCCTGTTGTAGTCTCACCTGTCTCACCTGTGTGGTGTAATCAGCCCTCCTGTTGTAGGTTCACCTGTCTTACCTGTGTGGTGTTATCAGCCCTCCTGTTGTAGGTTCACCTGTCTTACCTGTGTGGTGTAATCAGCCCTCCTGTTGTAGGTTCACCTGTATGATCTGGCGACAGCACGGCTCCTGACCTCCCTGCAGGGACACACATGGATGGTCACATGTCTCAACATGGCCAACAGCCCCGCCCACAACCTCATCACGGGCTGCGGAGACCGCAAGTGAGTGGAAACTCAGTTAGAGATGAGACAGCAACAAGCACTGCATAGAAACCGAATGTTAATAGCTAATGATGCTGTGTTTATCAGGCAAGGACAAATAACTGGTTTCATTTAGTGATCCACTTTCCCTTTAGATCTCAGGGGTGGTCAGGTAGCCTAGTGGTCAAAGCGTTCACTCGTGACGCTGAAGATCTGGCTTCGATTCCCATCATGGGTACAATGTGTGAAACCCATTTCTGGTGTCCCCAGCCGTGTTATTGCTGTAATATTTCTAAAAAGCAGCATAAAACCATACTCACTCTCTCACTCACTTTAGATCTCTATTCTAATTGGGGAAGAACTTGAGACAGATTCACTGCATCCAGCAATATTTATCAAAATTCTGTCAGGCATCTTTGGGTTTTGCTTCTGCAGGTTTTGAAATGAAATGCTGCATCAAAACTAAATGGTATCTGAACACCTCACCTCATACACCTTCCCTGTGGACATTCCAGGTGGAACGGGTGGTGATGTGGCCTAGTATTTAAAGCGTTCACACGTCCCGCCAAAAACCCACTTTTGTTTTCCCCTGTTGATATGAAGAGTGGACCCTTTTTCTGGTGTCCCTGGCCGTAGTATTGCTGGGATATTGCTAAAAGTGGTGTTTACCATAATCAGTCTAGGTGAAAACAGCTACCTCTCATCCCATGCTTGTCATAAGAGGCAAGCTGAGTAATCTGACTGGTTGCGTGTTGAGCACATTGTCACTGGTGTGTCTGGGCCAGACTTGATCATTCACTGGCTATTGTGATATAACAGGAATATTGCTGACTGCAGCGTTAAACAACATTCCCCCCTCTTTCACACATGATGTTGGTCTAAGTTGTTTAAGGTAGTTCCACTGAACTGTCTCCCCTACTTCAGAGTCCGCGTTTACGACACTCGACAGTCTACATGGCCAGCGATGACGCTACTGGGGCATTCTGGGAAAATAACGTGCGTTCAGATGGACGAGTGGAAGGTGGTGTCGGGGGACGAGGGCGGCTTTGTGAGGGTCTGGGACCAGAGGATGAGCAAGAAACTCTGGGAGTGGCACAACAGGTAGGTCGGTGTGACACAACAGGTGGGTCAGTGTGACACAACAGGTAGGTCAGTGTGACACAACAGGTAGGTCAGTGTGACGCAAAAGGTAGGTCAGTGTGACGCAACAGGTAGGTCAGTGTGACACAACAGGCAGGTCAGTGTGACACAACAGGTAGGTCAGTGTGACACAACAGGTAGGTCAGTGTGACAGTGACAACAGGTAGGACAGTGTGACACAGTAGGTGTTTCAGTGTGACACAGCAGCTAGGTCAGTTTGACACAAGTGGTGGGTCAGTGAGACAGTGACAACAGGTAGGTCAGTGTGACACAACAGGTAGGTCAGTGTGACACAGCAGCTAGGTCAGTTTGACACGAGGTGGGTCAGTGTGACACAACAGGTAGGTCAGTGTGACACAACACATAGGTGAGTGTGACACAACAGGTGGGTCAGTGTGACAACAGGTAGGTCAGTGTGACACAATAAGTAGGTCAGTGTGACAGTGACAACAGTTAGGACAGTGTGACACAGTAGGTAGGTCAGTGTGAAACAACTCGTAGGTCAGTGTGACACAGCAGGTGGGTCAGTGTGACACAACAAGTAGGTCAGTGTGACACAACAGGTGGGTCAGTGTGACACAACAAGTAGGTCAGTGTGACACAACAGGTGGGTCAGTGTGACGCAACAAGTAGGTCAGTGTGACACAACAGGTGGGTCAGTGTGACACAACAAGTAGGTCAGTGTGACAACAGGTAGGTCAGTGTGACACAACAAGTAGGTCAGTGTGACACAGCAGGTGGGTCAGTGTGACAACAGGTGGGTCAGTGTGACACAGCAGGTGGGTCAGTGTGACACAACAGGTAGGTCAGTGTGACACAACAAGTAGGTCAGTGTGACAACAGGTGGGTCAGTGTGACACAACAAGTAGGTCAGTGTGACACAGCAGCTAGGTCAGTTTGACACAAGAGGTGGGTCAGTGTGACAGTGACAACAGGTAGGTCAGTGTGACACAGCAGGTAGGTCAGTGTGACACAAAAAGTAGGTCAGTGTGATACAACATGTAGTTCAGTGTGACATTGACAACAGGTAGGTCAGTGTGACACAGCAGCTAGGTCAGTGTAACGCAATAGGTAGGTCAGTGTGACACAATAGCTAGGTAAGTGTGACACAGTAGGTAGGTCAGTGCTGTGGTCTTACACAGTGTGGATACATCAGATTAATATTTCACTTTGTGTTCTCATGCACTGTGATGAAGTGAATATTTATGTCTGTAACCATATCTCTAAAATTTGTCGGTATTCTTTCATGAAACTGTGACCACACAAAGGCCAGATTGTTATCTATATTTCATTAAGCTGCACTATATAGGGTTTCATAAGTTTAATGTGAAAGGTGAGCTTCAGTAACTATTGATAACTACAGTTGGTATTGTCACAGATTACAGAATAAGCCATGTACCAATTGTGTGACATACACAAACTTAAATCTTTACAAAAAGGACCGGGTATACAAATACAAGGGTCCAAATCCCAATTCCATGATATTGTTTTGATTACAAAATTACAGAAAAATGAAAACTTCCAGATTTCAGGATATTGCTTTAAAATTTATGTTGATTAGAACACCAGAGTTGAACACTAGTAGGTCTTGAAATACATGATATTTATTTAAGGTGTCTTGTGATTCATAATGCTGCACGCTGCTGTCACAAGTGTGTGTCTGTTCCAGGAACCCTGTCTCCTGTGTACACTTCAGTGAGGGCCACCTCATCGTGGGCAATGTGCCGTACGACAAGTTCCCTGTGGTGGACCACCTGGACAGAATTCCCCATCCGAGGTATGTAGTTCCCACGCTGCTTGGGAAGTCTGTTGTGTGTCATCTTCCCGAGGCAAGTGAGTTAATTGACTATAAAAGTCCAGTTTCCACCCTTGCCAAACTAGGCTGGTATTATGGAGTTAGATTTTGGCTGGACTAACGAGTCTATGCATAGTCCGATCAAAATGGCGCACCGAAATCGAAATCCGGTTTGTAAAGTGTCATGCAGATTTTGGTCGACTGCAGGATTTGCAAAGCATGTGCACCACTAGCTCGTTGTCAACAGATATTTTATAAATCTTTTCATGTTTTTAATCAAGGTGCTCACATGATTTGATGCACTTTTTGTCCCATTTTGTCACAATATAGATCTTGATTATCGATCAGATCGTCTTGACTGGGCGCCACCGTTTTGTTTGAAGCAAATGCAAGTGATACGAGAGGTGGAATCTGATTGGTCCATAGGAGAGGCATAGAAGGAACATAACTCGTAATACGATCGGGCCCAGGAATTCCAGCCTAGTTCAGCAAGGGTGGAAACCGGACTTTTAAAGTCAGTTAACTCTCTTGCCTCTGGAAGATGGTTGTGTGTAGGCTTTGAACTATTATATATCTGTGGGTATTCCAGGGAAGAAAGTAGTTCCCCAGCAACGTCTGCTTGGCGTATGAGGCAAGTAATGCTTCAGGTGGTCAAATCGGTGACGTGGTAGATTACAAGTCAGTTGCATCGATTGCTCTGGTCCAGACTTGTTTATGTTCAGACCACAATCATGCAGCAGGAGTATTGCTGAGTGCAGCTTTCAGCAAGAAACAAACATTTAAACTATTAAACATCTGACAGAGCGTCCTTTGAAAATATGGACCAAATCCCAATGACCTGAACCTAAACTTTATACCATTTGTATCAATGAAATGGAGATGAATTCTGTTTACTCCACCATCGTTTTCTGCCTCTGAAATGTGTGGGACCTAACCAAGTCTACTTCCACAGTTAGCAAGTAATTCTTATTTAATACTAAGCAGTATTTTGTTGTCCCTTTTTGTTTGCATTTTGTCACTATTGCAGTAAAACTAAGACCAATCTAAACCTTGTCATAGTGTTTAGATTCGTTTGACACATGACAGAAAATAAAGGAGACTGTTTGACATGGACGTGGTGTTACCAGACAGGAACCTATGAGGACAGTTTGACACTGACTTGGTGTGTCCAGACTGGAACCTGTGAGGACAGTTTGACACAGACTTGGTGTTCCCAGACAGGAACCTATGAGGACAGTTTGACACAGACTTGGTGTAACAAGACAGGAACCTATGAGGACAGTTTGACACAGACTTGATGTTACAAGACAGGAACCTATGAGGACAGTTTGACACAGACTTGGTGTTACCAGACAGGAACCTATGAGGACAATTTGACACTGACTTGGTGTGTCCAGACTGGAACCTGTGAGGACAGTTTGACACAGACTTGGTGTTACAAGACAGGAACCTATGAGGACAGTTTGACACAGACTTGGTGTAACAAGACAGGAACCTATGAGGACAGTTTGACACTGACTTGGTGTTACCAGACAGGAACCTGTGAGGACTGTTTGACACTGACTTGGTGTTACCAGACAGGAACCTATGAGGACAGTTTGACACTGACATGGTGTGTCCAGACAGGAACCTTTCAGGACTGTTTGACACACACTTGGTGTTACCAGACAGGAACCTATGAGGACAGTTTGACACTGACTTGGTGTGTCCAGACAGGAACCTTTGAGGACAGTTTGACACACACTTGGTGTTACCAGACAGGAACCTATGAGGACTGTTTTACACTGACTTGGAGTGCCCAGACAGGAACCTGTGAGGACTGTTTGACACTGACTTGGTGTTACCAGTCAGGAACCTGTGAGGACAGTTTGACACTGACTTGGTGTTACCAGACAGGAACCTGTGAGGACTGTTTGACACTGACTTGGTGTTACCAGACAGGAACCTGTGAGGACTGTTTGACACTGACTTGGTGTTACCAGACAGGAACCTGTCAGGACAGTTTGACACTGACTTGGTGTTACCAGACAGGAACCTGTGAGGACTACATGACACTGACTTGGTGTGTCCAGACAGGAACCTGTGAGGACAGTTTGACACTGACTTGGTGTTACCAGACAGGAACCTGTGAGGACAGTTTGACACTGACTCGGTGTGTCCAGACAGGAACCTTTGAGGACAGTTTGACACACACTTGGTGTTACCAGACAGGAACCTATGAGGACAGTTTGACACTGACTTGGTGTTACCAGACAGGAACCTGTGAGGACTGTTTGACACTGACTTGGTCTTACCAGATAGGAACCTGTGAGGACTACATGACACTGACTTGGTGTGTCCAGACAGGAACCTGTGAGGACAGTTTGACACTGACTTGGTGTTACCAGACAGGAACCTGTGAGGACAGTTTGACACTGACTTGGTGTTACCAGACAGGAACCTGTGAGGACTGTTTGACACTGACTTGGTGTTACCAGATAGGAACCTGTGAGGACTACATGACACTGACTTGGTGTTACCAGACAGGAACCTGTGAGGACTGTTTGACACAGACTTGGTGTTACCAGACAGGAACCTGTGAGGACTGTTTGACACTGACTTGGTGTTACCAGTCAGGAACCTGTGAGGACAGTTTGACACTGACTTGGTGTTACCAGATAGGGACCTGTGAGGACAGTTTGACACTGACGTGGTGTTTCTAGACAGGAACCTGTGAGGACTGTTTGACACTGACTTGGTGTTACCAGACAGGAACCTGTGAGGACAGTTTGACACTGACTTGGTGTTCCCAGACAGGAACCTGTGAGGACTGTTTGACACTGACTTGGTGTTACCAGGCAGGAACCTGTGAGGACTGTTTGACACTGACTTGGTGTTACCAGATAGGAACCTGTGAGGACTACATGACACTGACTTGGTGTGTCCAGACAGGAACCTGTGAGGACAGTTTGACACTGACTTGGTGTTACCAGACAGGAACCTGTGAGGACAGTTTGACACTGACTTGGTGTTACCAGACAGGAACCTGTGAGGACTGTTTGACACTGACTTGGTGTTACCAGATAGGAACCTGTGAGGACTACATGACACTGACTTGGTGTGTCCAGACAGGAACCTGTGAGGACAGTTTGACACTGACTTGGTGTTTCTAGACTGGAACCTATGAGGACTGTTTGACACAGACTTGGTGTGTCCAGACAGGAACCTGTGAGGACTGTTTGACACTGACTGTTACCAGACAGGAACCTATGAGGACAGTTTGACACTGACTTGGTGTTACCAGACAGGAACCTGTGAGGACTGTTTGACACTGACCTGGTGTTACCAGACAGGAACATGTGAGGACTGTTTGACACTGACTTGGTGTTACCAGACAGGAACCTGTGAGGACTGTTTGACACTGACCTGGTGTTACCAGACAGGAACCTGTGAGGACTGTTTGACACTGACTTGGTGTTACCAGACAGGAACCTGTGAGAACTGTTTGACACTGACCTGGTGTTACCAGACAGGAACCTGTGAGGACTGTTTGACACAGACTTGGTGTGTCCAGACTGGAACCTGTGAGGACAGTTTGACACAGACTTGGTGTTACAAGACAGGAACCTATGAGGACAGTTTGACACAGGCTTGGTGTTACCAGACAGGAACCTATGAGGACTGCTTGACACTGACTTGGTGTTACCAGACAGGAACTTGTGAGGACAATTTGACACTGACTTGATGTGTCCAGACAGGAACCTGTGAGGACTGTTTGACACTGACTTGGTGTGTCCAGACAGGAACCTGTGAGGACTGTTTGACACAGACTTGGTGTTACAAGACAGGAACCTGTCAGGACAGTTTGACACTGACTTGGTGTGTCCAGACAGGAACCTGTGAGGACTGTTTGACACTAACTTGGTGTTACCAGACAGGAACCTATGAGGACAGTTTGACACTGACTTGGTGTGTCCAGACAGGAACCTTTGAGGACAGTTTGACACACACTTGGTGTTACCAGACAGGAACCTATGAGGACAGTTTGACACTGACTTGGTGTGTCCAGACAGGAACCTTTGAGGACAGTTTGACACACACTTGGTGTTACCAGACAGGAACCTGTGAGGACAGTTTGACACTGACTTGGTGTTACCAGTCAGGAACCTGTGAGGACAGTTTGACACTGACTTGGTGTTACCAGACAGGAACCTGTGAGGACTGTTTGACACTGACTTGGTGTTACCAGACAGGAACCTGTGAGGACTGTTTGACACTGACTTGGTGTTACCAGACAGGAACCTGTCAGGACAGTTTGACACTGACTTGGTGTTACCAGTCAGGAACCTGTGAGGACAGTTTGACACTGACTTGGTGTTACCAGACAGGAACCTGTGAGGACTGTTTGACACTGACTTGGTGTTACCAGACAGGAACCTGTGAGGACTGTTTGACACTGACTTGGTGTTACCAGACAGGAACCTGTCAGGACAGTTTGACACTGACTTGGTGTTACCAGACAGGAACCTGTGAGGACAGTTTGACACTGACTTGGTGTTACCAGACAGGAACCTGTGAGGACAGTTTGACACTGACTCGGTGTGTCCAGACAGGAACCTTTGAGGACAGTTTGACACACACTAGGTTTTACCAGACAGGAACCTATGAGGACAGTTTGACACTGACTTGGTGTTACCAGACAGGAACCTGTGAGGACTGTTTGACACTGACTTGGTGTTACCAGATAGGAACCTGTGAGGACTACATGACACTGACTTGGTGTGTCCAGACAGGAACCTGTGAGGACAGTTTGACACTGACTTGGTGTTTCTAGACTGGAACCTATGAGGACTGTTTGACACAGACTTGGTGTGTCCAGACAGGAACCTGTGAGGACTGTTTGACACTGACTGTTACCAGACAGGAACCTATGAGGACAGTTTGACACTGACTTGGTGTTACCAGACAGGAACCTGTGAGGACTGTTTGACACTGACCTGGTG